TCTGCGGTATGAGACTGTGTGTCTGCATGTCTGCAGTGATCTTATATATAATCAAAGCACAGCTATGGACATTAAATTAACTCAAGCCAAGCTGAGTATTCGTTTTAGGTGCTTTGAGGTGCCAGACTTTGGAAACCTAGAAAAAATTGGAATTTTGGAGAGAAAGCACTTAAAAATTCTGCCAAAACCATGTCTTCTTAAAATTTTTAAGACACAGCCTCTGAGTGTCTAATGGTCCCTTCTAAAGTCTTTCTGGTCCTACCCTGGCAGATCATCCCCCAAGCCCAGAGCCCCACATTCAGTTTTTTTGACGCTGTTCTTATTTAACATGATTTGTTCACTGAGGCTCAGAGCAATGAAACCCAGTAAATAATGCATTGGACAAACAGAGAAGATAACAAAAGGAAATAGTTAAGGTACTATAATAATTTTAGGCATTCTTTTTCAGGTCACTATAATCTGCCCAAAGATAACTAATTGTTCAAAGTAAACATTCCACTCCAACCACAAAAGGAATCCATTACACAAACATATAATTCACAGTCATTTTTAGTGGGTTGTAAACAGTTTGGAATGAGCATAAAATGGGACAAAAATCAAAGTGAGCATTTAGAAATGAAAAAGTGTTTGCTACAAAAGGTCAGTCCCTTTACTTGGCAAACTATGTAGAAAAGCCTGGGAAAATGTTGAACACACAAGCAGTAAGGGAATTTTAAAGCCAACAACCTCCCTGTTTCTTTAAACAGACATCGGAACCTATAACTGGATCCTGTCAAACAAACGACAGCAAAAAAACATAACAGCTGCTAAGAAGTAAAGTTGAAAGATAAAGTTTTCTAAGCTAAGAACCTTCTCAGAAGTGGACTAAAGGTCTTTCTTAAATCTTTAAGCAAGGTTATGGATCCCAGGGTGGCTTTTAGGCATTGAATCAAATATGTAATTTTGTGTATCATTCCTGTCAGAGCATCCTGTGCTCCAAGAAAAGCAACAGAAAACAATATCTGCAGCGTCCAGTTTAGGATGGAAACGGTACCTGTAATCATCAGCTTTGCTGCCTGCAGTGTCATTTTTCAAGCCATTTAGGCTGATTTGAGAACACTAACTTGGATTTGGGAATGGAGGAAGAAAATGAAGGATGTTTCAAAAGAGAGATGAAAGTTAAATTATATTTCCCTGGAGCATTAGTACTGTATTTCTTTACAAAACCTAAACCGCACTGGATACCCTTCATGGGTTTAGGATACAGACTGCTCAGGGTGTTCATTTACTCTGCCATTAGACACACAGACAAATGATCTTCCCTGGAAAAGAGTTTAGGATCAGACTATTTTCACACGACAAAACACTACTATGAGAAGTACTGGATGGCATGTTCTTTAGGTACAATGCAGACTGATATTTTTATTTTTTTAAAGCATTCTACTCATGCTTTTCACATATTAAAAAATGCAAATAAAAGACAGCCAGGACTTTTAAAGGGTCGTGGATAGCAAAATAAATAGGCGACTCCAGAAACAACTCAAAATAATATCTGGCCTAGAAAGACCAAAAAGTCTTGCAATGGGCCCCACCCTTGGCAGGAGTGCTCAGCATGCAAGTTATAGTGCACTGGGAGGATTATCCCAGGCTTGCCTTGCTACACCACACAGCTCAGGGTTGGTGCTACCTGTCAGATGCTTTCCAGGGAGAAGAGAAAGCAGATTGAATACAGACTGAAATATGGGAATACAGATTGAAAAAGGCAGGTCAACAGATAGCTCCAGAAAAGTCTGAGCTCCATCCGAGGTAGGGGTGGATGAAGTAAAAGAAGACACAGAAAAAATCCCAAGGAATGTGCTGTTCCATGAAAAACTTTCCCTTCGAGACCCTAAGAAAGCAGAAAGTGAAGAAATGATGGAGATCTTTGAGTAGCCACTGTATTTCTTCAATCTGATTGCTGCATGCTACAGAATTATTCTCTTATCCACAGCAGGTCACTCTGCAGACATGGGAGGGTTTTCTGTTTAGGGCATTGCATGAGATACCAAGGGTAGTACACTCTTTGCCCAGACACTATTAGCTTCAATGGCGCAGGCCTGGACAGCTCAATAATCAGGACAAGAAGTTCATAAAAAATTATGAATGAATAAATAGTACAGGAAGAATGAAGAGAAAGACTGAGCTTGCTGAGAAAAAATAATTAAATGTGACCACTGCCTTGCAAGTTTCCAAGAATGGGCACATTTCTATTGCCTCTCTTTATTAAACTCCACTACCAGCCCTGCAAGATGGCTGAGAAAGTGGAGAAAGACCTTCTTCTTCCCAGTCCTACTTCTGTAACTAAAAATACCAAAAGAGGCTGAAAAAAATGGAATTCACTCTTGAACAAGTGAATCCTTGTCAGATAGATAAATATGCATTATGGTGTGAGGGTTTTTAGATCAGACCTTATAAAGCATCCCTGTCCTGAAATGGTGAAGAAGCAAACAGTAGCCTAGGGGATAAATGACCAAAATCTGATCTAAGTTGCAACAGAATAAATTCAGCATAAATATCCTTTTGATATTCATTCAAAAATAGTGTAACTAAACAGGAAATCTTGCCAATGCTTAATGACACCCTCTACATTTTTAATCTTGGGGGGAATATTACTACAGTTGCCTATTGTATGTAACCTTATCTAGACAGGAAAATGCACTAATTAATATGGCTTATTCAGATGACTGCTAGATTTTCTGTGCACAGTGCTAATGCTTAAAAAACATCAGAAAACCAAATAGAAAATCAATAGGTGAATAATTATCAAGTCCAGGAGCTGATAGCTAAGAACACAACTGTTCAGCAAAGTATGAATGCTTTGTAAGTAATATTTAGGGATAGTCTCCTAAGGTTTTTTTGTTCCTGATAATCCTTTATCCTAAGCAAAGCACGCAAGTAACATTTTTGGTACAGTTACAGTATGTAGATGATATATTTTCTAAATAGGAAAAAAAGCTTTTCTACCACAGCCAATATGCCAGCTGTACCGAGTATCTAGGCCATCTTACTAAGACTATGAAAGTAAACATACAGTTTTCATTAAATGTGCCTTTCCCATAATTGGTACATAAGTATTTCCCATGACTCTGCAGTTGAGTATCTTGGCTGGAGGCATATCTGGCCATTAAGAGGAGGACTTCAGATCTGTTGAGTCTCAGCCATGCCGGGAGACTTGGCACCTCCACATACTGCTTCCTAATACCAACCCCGGTGTAAAATGTCATCAGAAGCTTGCATAAACATTGGACTTAGCTTCACATAAATTACTGCTGTCCTGAGATAGTTTATGCCAGAACTTAGTAAAAACAACACTTTGAGTAAATAGAATGTGAGTAAATGCGTCTTAATCCAAGAAAACGATAATAGAAAAAAACCTGCATATCAAATATAAACTCATAAATATAGCGATAAAATGAAATTTTTATCTCATGCCATATGATTAGCTTTTATTTACATGTTAGACTAACCAAAAGGGGTAGACTTCTCTAAGTCACAGCAAGTTTGAAGGAAACACAGGAACAATAATGCAGTACTCAGGAGGATGATCTCCTCTGAAGAAACAATGATATGTTCAGTTTCTAATATGAATATTTTCTTGATAGTCACACAGACAGTAAACATCTAATTAGGTTTCTTGAATTTTTCTATTACAGTTCAGCAGTGCAGAGACCTCTGGCCTCACTTCTCATGGGAGTTGTCGTCAGATACCACAAAATAACTAGGAAATATCCAGTGCATCTTTTGGAGAACCTGTGCTGAGATCCTAACCAAGCAGTCCATTAAACATGTTCTGCATGGAGTGGCATTTTTGCAATCTAATCTCTGCCTTTCCTTTTCATGTTCTGAATTTCACCTCACAATTCCTCCTCTATTAATAGTCACTTCACACATTTCTCCCCTTTCTCTATCCAGACTCCAGCCTTCCTCCAAGGAAACCCAATGCTACTATCTCCCCCTACTGAACAATCTCCAGTTTGTTTTAGTCTCTGACTTCCTGCCAGTCGTTCTGGGAATAATAATATCCCAGTTCTCTCTTTGCTGTATAATTAAAGCATGAATTTTCCTAAGTTTGAAACTCCAGGGTAGTTTTATTGCACCTTTCACTATAAAACCAGGTAACAATGGTGGAAATAAAATAGCTTTTTCCTTTGTGGCTAACACTCTTAAGTATCTCTTTATTTTTCATGGGTTCTGTTGTTCTCTGGCTCCAGTCTATGGCAGTGACAATGGGTTCACCCAGCCTTATTCTGAAAATAAATTTTCTATCTTTTGCAAGATATATGTTTCCCCAGATCCCTGGAACAAGTTGTAAACTTGTAACAGATGGTGATGAAGCCTCACATTTTTATACAATACATTTTAAGATTCTGCATCTACCGCATGTACCTTCCAAAGAAAATGACCTTCAGTGAAAGAAGATACACTCTGCAGAAAGCAAGGCAGGCAATGGTGTTAAGTACATCTTTTTTGTACTATGAAAATCCTTCTTATTAATCAAAACTTTTAATGAGGATGGATAATCATTCCAATATTTTTACAATATTGTGGCTTTTAAAATAACTGTAAAAATTAGACACCTGCACTCATTAGAAAAAATAAAATAAATATGGCCACACCAGAATAACATTTCTTTTGGTTGAATACAATTCAGGACTTTGGGAAAAGTATTGGCTTTACACTCACCAGAGACTTCAGAATGAAAGTTACTGACATTTCATCGATGTTGAGCATTTGCTTACCCAGAGAAAGACTAAACCAACAACATGTCAAACAAAATGTAAGGAATAATCAGCATGAATGGGTTCTATCAGTGTCTTATCATATAAAGAAAATTAAGATACAGAATGTGATATAGTTCAGTTCATAACTATATTATAAATTGAACTGTCTGCCTACCCTGGCAATCCCAGCAGAGTTATGAGGTTAAAGTTTTGATTACTAACAGAGTAAAAAAAAAAGGTATTAAATAACAAGGTACTCACCTCTTCTTTCAACAGCTTTTATGCACAGTCTTACAAACTGGGGGACTGTAGATTTCTCGTGCTCACAAACCAAGTGCAAATGGGAGCCAAAAATTTGATCTACATTTGGAAAACAAGAGGAAAATACATTAAGGCATAGTATTGGTAGTGGGATTTTTCTCTCTTCTCAGCTTGCCTATTAATTTAAAACTCAGATATTGAAGATGGACGGACAAAGTTGGAAGCAAATCCTGTTTGAGTCATAGTGGTCATTAACTTGTGCCACAGAACCAAATCCCTCAACATCTGCTGCTCATAGTACTTGGGTACTTCCCTCTGGATTCACATTTCAATTGCCACTTACACCTTGACCTTGACCTTTCTAAGATTTAGAGGTCTCTAGGGTTTGCTTGGACCTGTCATAAAAAAAAGTGAAGGCCATTCTAGAGCTGCAGCTCTCTGACTTGTAGAACACAAAATCCTACATGGTATCAACTGTTGGTCCAACCTTGAAACTCTTCTTGTTGGGTGGCCTGTGTCTTCTATGCATATGGAAGTTTCACTCTTGCCAGGGAGTACTGCAGTAGTGCAAGCACTTCATTACTCTTCTTGTTGGGTGGCCTGTGTCTTCCATGCATATGGAAGTTTCCCTCTTGCCAGGGAATACTGCAGTAGTGCAAGGACTTCATTGCTTTGCATCATTAGGACTTAGTACAATTTGATGTAATCTTTCTAAAAAAATTGTAATCAGCAAATTGCATACTTAAAAAAATTGAAGGCCCAAGATGCCTTTTTATGAGGATTAAATCTTACACCAAGTTCAAGTTATGATTAGTGTTACTTCCTTCATGATTAACCATTTCACTAGATACTGACACCTTTTAGTTTTTGGTAGTTTTAAAGTTTTGATCAGCTTTGAATGTTGTTCTTAAAACATATTTGTGTAAGTAGGTTCAACCCTTCAGATTACTAATTAGCTCCCTCCACCTCATTTCCACTCTGTATGTTTGAGAAATTATGAAAAGAGCAATCAGTAATGGGCACATTGTCAGCTTGAATCAGAATGAATCAAACAGATGAGAGGAACTACTCAATAGGAGCCAGTTAAATGCTGAAACAATAGGAGTGTACTGTCATCATTTATCCGAAGAGACAGTCTCCATATAGCATTTCAACAGAGCACTACAGTTTGCAAATTGGCGTAGAGGCTTTGAAAATTATTGTACAGATAGTTGAAAGGTGCTAGCACAGACCTGGACTCTGCACAGCAAACCCAGCAGCAGGTCCTGCTGCCCTCAACATCTCTCATGGCACTGGATTAATCACAGAATGACAGAATCAGTTAGACTAGAAGGGAACACATTAGGTCATCTGGTCCCTTCACTTTACACCATAACCAGTTGGAATGCTTCTTCCCCCAAGCAGCACAAATTTTCCTTACTAACAGGCAAAACTCCCAGGTTTTTATTTTCTGCTTTGCAAGGAGCTTCGCTTTCCTCTCTTTAATCACCACAATTTTTTACTCAGCTTAGATTTCAAACCCAAATCAATTGCCTTTTCTTGCCTAATAGGCCAGGGTAGGGAACACGACGAGGGAAACAAGGTAGGGTGCAGGGGATGGTTTGAACCTCTCAATATGGATCAGGGAAGTTTATTCCAGCATCTCCCAATGTGTGTGATCTGCATTCTGGGAGAGTACACCAAAGCCTGAATTTAAGTTAGTCGGAGTTTCGGCTGCAGAAGGGATGGAGGACTGGGTTCACAGAACTACTCTGAGGAAGGTTGTGTGCATGTGTGGCGTTAAGCATTAGCGAACAGTCTGTTACATGTTTTGGGGTTATGTTTCTGACAAAGCACAGTCTGGTTACATTTTCTTCATAAAACATTTATAGCTGCCTTCAGTGGTAATTATACATACAGAGATTTATGATTAAAATGTACTAGCACTTCCTCTTTTGACATCTTAATTGTGTTTTTTTTAAATTTTAGCAGAGACCTGTCAAATTCTTTGCATAATACGGAGTGGTCTCCAATGTAAATTATGCTAAAAAGGAAGTAAAAAAAAATGTATCTTATTTGGTGGACAAAGACACTTGTAAACAATTTCAGAAGCAAAACAGGCAAAGAGCTGCACTGTGTTTAGATGGCAACACATGAAGAACTGAAACAAAATTAATGCATGGCTGTTCAGCAGTTTCTCTTCTCTCTTATAGCCACTTTATAACAACTTCCAGGATTGTTTTGCAGTTCTTCTTGCAATCCACAATATTTGGTATTCCTGGAAGGAAGTTTTGAAAAGACTAAAACCAGTTTTGCAATGCTCACCTATGCCATGACTTCTTTTCTGGGTGCAGATTGTACATATTCAGCAAAATATTTAACCTCAATTTATATACCTTTCACTGTATGGACATAGTCACAGTCTGTATCCTGAAGCTAAGCTTTAAATCACCTCTTCTTTAGAAAACAGGCACTCAGGATTTTTGTATTGGATCAAAGGGCAACAAATTGGTATTAAGAGCTGCTGGGCATCAAAAGGGACTATGGTAAAACAATGACAACTGCTTTGGAGGTTTTTTCTTCCTTCTAGAAATTCATGAGTATTTATAAGTACATGATCCCATGAGTCATCCAAGTATTCTCAATTCTGGATACTTCTGAACCACAGATTCCATGAGTCTCTCTAGTCAATTGATTTTTTGCTGGATCTGTTTCTGTACATAAACACAGGAATGGCAGTAGTTACACTGCCATATTTACACTTGTAGAGGTCACAGGGATAGTCGAGAAAAACTCAGTTAAGATTTGTTTGCGCAGTATTTTGAAACAAGGAATTGTAGGAATAGCAAATTGTTAACTTTTGTAAGCTAGATTTATGTGTAATTAAGACTAAAATATTATTTTCTAGTTCTTTTATAGGGATATATATATATATTTTAAAACTAGTTAAAGGGAAAATTATCCAAGACATTTTTTCTGTTCCCAAAGGGATAAGGAAAGCAAAAAAGCCTTTGTTTGATTTATTTGTGATAAGACCCTCCAAAACTTCATTTTTTATGACTTGAAAAAAAAAGAGATGTACACAACAGTCCTAACCTCCTGTTATGACAGTTTATGCTTCCTATCCAGCTTATTTAACTCAAATGCCTGGGAAATAGACACAATTACCACCTTATGGAATGCTACTTAACTTTAAATGCTCCCCTCTGAATAGAAATCCACTTTATCTTCTCAGACTTATTCCAGTTTCTCAGGAATTATTTCCTCTATAGGCTCCTGAAATGCTCTTGTTTCATCATTTAAAAATTTAAACTAACAATTGGTCAGAAATATCTTTTATTAGAACAAAGGCAATTCCCATGCAGTAGATTCTGTTCACAAGAGCTCGTACAAAGGAGCTGCATACTATGCCCATATACAGCTTTAATCATTCACTCTTTCAGCTGTTATCAATTTAAAACCAATGAAACTCCCACACTGAGTCCATTTGAGCAGTCAATTTTAATATCTTGGGGCATCTGTAGTTATTCTGAATTGGCTGCAAAAGCAGAACTAACAAGTTAAGCTCTAACCATAAGTCTACATCAGGCTGGTAAACCATACATCAAACACCGACAGTTAGTCAATACTGTAGTATGAAAAACCAACAAGCATTTTTAAGAAGAGCAATATATTCATAATGTGTTTGGGGTATGGTTTACATTACATATCCCTGCTATCTGCACATTAAAAATTTGGTTGGAGATGGTGGGGTGTGTGACAGCTTTGCACATGGATATAAAACGAGACACCAGAAGAGGAGGGAATGGACATTCACAAGTTGTATAATATAAAATGATGATTACAGCTGCAATGAATTGCTCGTTCTGGGGAGCCTCAAGTTTTTCCTGAGCCTGACAGAGCTGGGGTTTTTTTTGTTTTGTTTTTTTTTGAGTAGCTCTTGCAGGCTGCAGCAAAGCCACTAATCCTGAGCTGCAGAAATCTGGACTATGGGAGACAATACTTCTGGAAAAGAAACAATTAAAACAAAATCACTAAAGCCACATCCTCACTGAGAATGTCATTGTTTAACTGTTTTGGGTGTACATGGATGAGATGTGGCCACACTTGGAAGGAACTCATACTTTAGTGTTTTTTATTAAAAAAAGAAGGGAAGGACATGGCTAATATTCCCATTTCTCAGGGAGAAGCTTAAATTCTGACATGAAAGGAGGTGGTATAATGGTACAATGCCCAAGTTTGTAGAAATGTGTATTATATCTATGTAATCTACTGCCTTCCAGGAACAGAATTAACTCTGCTACATCTGGATTTGAGCTGCTGGACTAACAGAGCTTTGTATCAACATCCAAGTTGTTTGTTTTCTTTGTATCTGTTTAAATGTTGGGAAGGAAAAGGGGGAAAGAGGATGAAAAAAACAAAACGAGGAGAATGTATGGAGAGAGGGACAGGACAGTAGGCACCACAGCAGTGAACTTTTTGGACAGGGGAGTGATGTGTTTGGGGCCATATTCTGAAAGGTGACTTCTAGCTGCTCAATCTGTAGAGTCAGACACATTAAATCAGACATTAAAGTGATGCTGAACCCAGACTGAGGCTCCAAATAATGCCACGATGCTTTTACAATAAGTGGGGCAGGTCCTCAGCTGACTGAAGTCAGTGAGGTTGTCAATGGAGCTCCCCTGATTTATGCAAGCTGGGAATCTTGCCAGTCCTTTTAACTCAGAGATTTACTATATATCGTTGATCTGCGGTGGTCATCAATTTAAAAAAAATTACATTTGTGAACAGTTACTATTAAGTGGCATATGAGCTGCCAGATTTGTTTCACATTCTCAGAAAAAGGGAAAATAGTACTACAGACACAGGTCTCTTAAGAAATTCTGGTGTTTTACTGGGGACAAGAGCTCGTTTGAATGCCAAGAGAATGTGTCTGTTGTACTACTCAAAACAAGTCTCTAAAAATGAGATATTTTCAAATGATCTGAATCATTTCTGAGCATCATGTCAAAGGGAAAAATCATTTTGTCCAGTGTTTGGCCATCCACAGGGTTTTTGAAAAGTACTTCCAAATGTCCATGTCAAACAAAGAAAGAAATACCCTTGTGACCCATTGTCCCTACAAGTCAAAGGAAACATTTCCTAACTTCTCCTAAATTATGATGGGCACCAGATCGCTTGCAAAATTCCTTCATAACCCAAAAGAATTACAGAACACACAAAAGGTAGGTCTTAATCTGCTCATTTGGACTTCTCGTGAGCATTTCACTCATTACATTGAACTATTCCAAGGTCCAGTGAGACATATGATAGAATAAAGACATTTTCCTTTGCCTGGAAATGAAATGGTTGGTGATCTCTGTGCTGCGATCTGCACAACCACCAACATATGCTGAGCCCTGTTCTATAGGCTATCAAGCCAAATCACAGCTAGTTCCTTTCACTAGCAATTGAGTGGCTTTTATTTTCATCTTGAAACAGTTGTAACCATTCCAATTTTTATGCTGTTTTGGGTTTTGCCTTAACTTAGCTTATGAAATAAATTCAATGAAGTTCCTTCGGTGTCTAGCCTTTGGGAAAAAAAGATCCACCCTAAAAAAAAAAAACCCTAAATAAATTTCTTGCCAGCTGCATAGCTTCATTTTCCTCATTTCCCACAGTGTCATTTATGTTAAGTTGTTGCTCATGCTTTTTTTACCATTTACTGAAAGTGTATTTTGTGATAGTCTATTACCAACACAACCACCCCAACTTTAAAATCACAGTTTCACAGGAGGTTTTTCTTTTTTGTTGTTGTTGTTGTTGCACTAGAAAGGCTCAAAAATGAAGAAGTTAGCAGGCCAATATCAAGTTGAAGGTTGGCAATTCATTTTAGGGAATATTAAATCATGACAAAGCTCAAACATAAAGATCAAAGTTCAATTATAGACTATAAAGTCGTTTTAAAAGAGAAGATTTATATATTATTTTTCTAGCATATTAGTGCAGATTCTGTAAATTCTGAGAATATTTCAATCCCGAGGAACCAAGGACCCCTGCCCTAGCATATAAATTTGAACAGTTATTCTCAAAATAACACTGTTAAAATGGCAGATAGGGAACATGCCTCTTATTTACTACTTCTAGGTTGTGTGTGTGTGTATATAAGAACAAAAATGTGCATAGAGACACACACACACACATAATGCAAAGACCCTGTATTACACATCATCTCAAAAATGATTCAAAATGCTTCTAGACCAAAAATATTTTGTGTAAGCATGAGTGAGATGGAACAAGGACTGATGATCTTCATTAGAGATCTCGCTGAAGCATGAAAAGCCCCAGTCACCAGCCCATCACAATGAATGGAGCCAAAGTGCTGTTCCCATTCTGGCTTCTCTTACACAGAGGACTAGAAAGCAAATGGGACAGCAACAGCAAAAATAACTTTTTGCCATGTAAAGTGTCAGCACATCTTCATTTTCAGATCAACATGCAACTCACATTTACCCATTGGTCTGCTGCATTCCCTTGTCTGATTGCTATCCTCACTATTAATGTTTGTTAACTCCCTACTTTATCTACTACATGGATATTCGCTACATTCTACATAAGTAAAGTTTGGTTAAGAGTTAAATGACAATCACATAATTTCTAGATTTTCTGATAGCAGTGTTGGCAGAACAAAGTACCCCAGGAGATCAAACTGCTATTTAATTTTGAAGCCTGTATTCCCAAATTTGGTTAATGTGGAGAAATGTGTTGAGACTTCTGGCCAAGTGTGTACGCATCAGCGACTAACAGAGCACGGAACTTTGTTTAAGTGAACTTACCACCTTAAAATATATTTACTCATGACCATAATTTATGTGTTAAATTTATTGGAGTTTCGGTTCCAATGTGACATACAATGTAAAAAATCAATATAGATTTGAGAGCTTTATAGTGCCCCTGGCAAATATGAATAGCACTTGATGAAAAGTGAAGGTTTTCACAGCACCTACAGTGCCACTGCTTTGGAGTAATTAGCACCACACGCTCCACAGATATTTATATCAATTCTTCACCAGCACACAGAACAGCTCTTTGTCAAGAATTTGGGACTGAGATGTCCTGCAAGGCTTTAGACACACTTTTATTACGAGCCCCTATTTTAAGGGATTTACAATTCTGACAGAAGTATTTCCCTATGGGATAAAAGTTCGTAGGCATGTTCTCAGAGCTAGAGGAATTTTTTCTTGTAAAAATTGGTTAACATTTTTTTCCCTTAAGAAACGAGCAAATAAATAGTTCTGAGACGTTTCTGCAACCATTTAAGTCACCTTTAGAAAAATAAATACATGCATCTTGTAATGCAAAATTTGGCGAGCTCTTCATTTGTAGTCTGGGTGGTTGCATTTTGTGATTTAAAAATATTCTAATGTGAGCCTAGAAATTAACATTTAAAAGTGGCCTCTGCATAAGCACTGCAACTGCATTTTCATAACATTTTAACAGATTAAGGGATAAACTCTGGTGAAGACAATGAAGGAACCTTATCAAATGAGCATTTCACATAGACTTACCGTAGATTGGAATTAAGCCGTGCTAACGAATCCTGCCTCATTTGCATGGCCAAAACCTAATCCTAATGAAACTTCATGGTAGATAACTAACATGTTTTCTTCATGGTAACATTAGTTTGGTAATCAAACTGTGCTGGGTACTGACTCTGAATCACTGTGTCACAAATCACACATCTCTGTTATCCATGGAAGAGTATTCCAGGTAGAACCAAGCTATGTTTATGAATTAAAAGCTTAATGCAACTGTAGCCAAACCCAAATTCATCTGGCTTTCCTAGAGAGATATATTAGAGGATGGATTTGAGTTATGCTAATGAATCTGGATTTGTTAGCAGGGATCACATCTGATCCCTATGTAACACTGCAGGAGATTCATCAGCCACACTTTATTAAACTAAAAAAAAACCCCAACCCTTAAATCCAGAAATCAAAAGACTATAAATTACTCCTCTATTTCTGTAATAACTGAAACAAACTAACATGATGCATTCAAATCCCACTCTCACCTCACAAAGTACTTTAAAGAGGCAAAACTCTCCAGTGTGTTGAAATCAGATACGAATGTGTTAAGGACTGATCCTGAAAGTTTGGTGTCTGAGTGTGCACACCTCACACACACATAGAGATGTATAAATGACATGTTTTTAATATTTCTGTGGCAGTTAGAAGCAGAACCCCATCACTAAGGCTCATCATGGTTTCATATAATGAAGATTTCCTTACAGTAAACAACACTGTACTGAGCATCTCTGCATGTATCTAAAACATAAGAACTTAATTCATCAAATCTTCTTCTCTCCAGACATGGGCCCAGCTGGTGTTTAACTCTTGTGGCTGCTACAGCTTTAGCTGGCTGGGGTCAATCTCTTGGCTCAGGACAGACAAGTTTAATACACACTAGCAACACCCCTTGCCATTTTTGACACACCACTGGAAAACTCACAGTCTGGAGATTGACAGGGGTTGTTGGCAAAATGCCTCTCTCTAGTCAATTTGCATGTGCAGTTGTGGGTTTCACACATAATAATTTGGGACTGTGTAAATTTTTCAAGCATTATTCCAGACAATATTTGAAAACACGGCTCTGCTTGAATATTAGTGGTCAAAATGCTACTGCCTTCAACTCTCAGCTTCTTAGCAAAACACTTCTTGGATAAACTAACAAACGCATTTTATCAAAGAAACAATTTTTTAAGGATATGTGAAAGTGATGGCTGACCAACTTAGCAAGAAATTGGAATAAGACAGGAAAAAATCACAGCATTTCTTATTTGCTGACATGTATTTTAAATTGTTTAAAATGGACCGTGTTGGTGAGTTAGAAAAATAATGAGAGAAGGCAGCAGAAAGTATTCCAACAAATTAGTCAGCACAGCATCTGAAGTTCCTATTTCAGGTTCTAAAACACGAAAGTGTCTCAACATTCTTTTCTTAAAAAGAAATGGAGTTGTGCAGCAAGCTGATTTTTAATTCACCTGGTGTTAAGTGGAAGGGCTTCTACCACTTGTACACATAAGCAAAAAAGTTGAAGCAGCAGTAAGATATCACAGAAACAGATGTAACCACACATTGATTATTTTCGTTATAGTTCAGCAGTGCAAGTTTCATGAGATACTGCAACAAAACCATATCTAAGCAGAGTTTGTCCAATGCATTTATTCATCTGAGAGTCAAATATTCCTTTGTGAATGCTTCCATTTTTAGGCCAAAAAAAAGTACAAAAGACTGAACACACCTTTAATGAGTCCCTTTTCTTGCAATGATTTCAAGGAGGGTCTTCGGGAAATGAACTTCTTTAATCTGCTTTTAACTCGGTTTCTGTCATTTGTGTCAGAGGTACTGTAGTTCAGTCTGAAAACTAAAAGAAATCACAAGAAAAAGCTTCAGTGAAATGATATCTTTAAATTAATAATACTTTGCTCAAATATCCTTAGAAAATATTGGCCATAACCACCCTAGTGAAACCAAATTCATGCGGTAGGTCAGCAGCCTTAGAAAATATTGGCCATAACCACCCTTGTGAAATCAAATTCATGCGGTAGGTCAGCAGTGTGGCTGGTTGGACACTACAAACCATCTGATGAATACTTTTGTGAATAAACACAATGAGTTCAGTCTGCTGGTTATGCACAGAACTCGATTATTTATTGCCCATAAGTATTTGGATGGCAACCAGTTTACTCATGAAATGCTCACGAATCCCCCAAGTTTCACATGGATGATTTTTCAGCTAAAACTCCATATTCCAAGTGTGCTATGCACTATTAGCTGTGTACTACTTGTTATGAGAAAGGATGGATAGTTACACCACTACTGAAGGACTGGATTCTCTTGCCAAGATGGATTAAGCGTTATATATATATTTAATGCAGTTATAGAAAACATGGCTATGTGCCATGAAATGTGTGCGAGATGCATTAATTTATGGAAAGAAAAGTATTCCCGTCCTAATGATTATATTTTATTATATTTAGGCATTTACCAAATGGAGAAACGTTTTGAGCTCAATTTATTCCTGCTCTGTGTCAAAAAGACATAGAACCCAGCTGCAGAAAATCCCCTGCAGGAAGTTTCAAAGGCAAAAATTTAACTTTTTCTCTGCTGAGGTACTTACAGAGCACCGTGATAGATATCAAAATAGGCAGTATTAGCAGGGAGGAAAAGCTCAGCATGCTCTAGAAGAAACAGCAATGCCATGGGAAGACCTTTCAAAGTCTTCCCTGAACAAGCAGGTTTCATAAATATTTCTGTTAAATCACCTGAGCCCAACAACCCTTGAATAACCTTCATTTAGTGTCCCGAGCTTTCTCACCCTGCTCTTTCCCCCAAATGCTGAGCAGGCTAATGGGGCAGCCAGAGTTGTGCAGCCTCCCTTGTTGATGGCCTTCAGCTGACAGAGGGGTGGTGTCTACTTTCTGAGGGAAGAGAAGCTTTCCAGCTTCTCTTTTAAATCAATCAGTCAATCAATCAATCAACCAATCCATCCACCAAAACACAATATTCCCTACAAGGTGAAATCCCAGAAGCTGGCACATCATCCTTTTAACAGAATTTCTAGTCTCCTGGATGATTTAGCTGCAGTTACAGAGATGCTTCCTAATCTTCTCATCCAGACTGAATCTCCTCTATAATGCAGCAATCTCCATATAGAGGATCCAAGCAAAGAGAGAGCTAAATTAAACTGATGATCAATATTACCAGTCTATTTTTCCATCGAGGCGTTTTGCATTACTTATAAACAGAACCAGAAGGTTTAAAGGTGCACAATTAGGAAACAATGGAAAGCGAAAATAACTGGTTAAGCAAGAGCAGCAACCCTGGAATATTGTGGTTTACATTACAAATCTGATTTTAACAGCCAAACTTATAAAATGGTTTACGCTTTGCTGTTGTCAAGGGAGAAAAACTTGCCAAATTGTTCATTTTAAGTAAATAGAACATAGCCAATTAAGGAAAGCAATATTTAAACACATGCCTACAATGATCAGAGCATAGTTTGCTTCTGATTTCACTACTGATTTTAACAGAAGAGTGCTCCATTTTCCCACAGCACTAAAATGACCCCACACATACTTCCACAAACTAGTAATCACACAGGACAAATAAAAGGACACTTTACTGGAAAATACATGGCTTGGTACAATAATCCATCACTTATGAAAACTAGAATTCACATTTTTTAATGGTAGCATTCTTGGAGCGATGTATCATAGAATATAAAGATTAGCATTCAATTGATGGTTAGTGCTTTTTTAACATTATAGCGGAGGACTTTTTGTTCAAAATTGAGCAATCCTTGGCAGGGACAAGCTAAAATTCCAAGTCACTTGGCTGAGCTATAAAAAGAACAACAAATGGATGTTTCTAATTCTGCATCTTAATGGTACTTTGAAACAGTGAAGTGAATTGTATTTAGTTTGGGGTCTCTTTTGTTGCTCAGGGTCATTCTGTCCATAGAAATTCATACTTAGATTGGCTTTTTCCTTCTTTATAGTGAAGTTTCCCCAAATGATTTGAATAACACAGGAGTGAAAATATCTCTTAAGTTACTACAGATTCTGGCCTCTTTTCCCATTCTATGGAACTCTGAAGCATTTTATACCCACTTGAACAACTTTCTTAGATCTGAGTCTACACCAGATTTTTTAAGATGTTCCAACTGAAGTGCACGTGGTCATAATGGGAAGGGTAGGACAGCAGGGTGAAGATCCCTCTCTTTAGAAAGATGCATTAACCCAGCTGAAAGTTTCAGACCTGAAACAGCAATTATGGTGTTAAAACTACATCTAGAGGTAGGAAGAATTATTGTCATGGATACCCTTGTATGATCTATGTTGAGCTGTATAGCACATAGTCAATAACAACAGCAAAGCCAATTTTGCATTAATTTCTTTTTTTTTTTCTCTTAAACACATGTGAGTCACCAGAGAGAAATTCCAAGCCTCCCAGAAATTCAAGAGTTTAGATAGCATGTTCCAAAACCAAGATTGGCCAGAAATATTCTTGTTGGGATCTCACTTCTTCCTCTTGCCAAATCATTCTCGCGATATCCCCACATTAAAATGACTTTGCTATTATATTTGGCAATACAAAGAAGACTGAATGTTACTTTCAATAGAAAATATTTTTTTAAAAAAGGAAAAAAGTAGTTATCAAACTCAGAAACCTGACCTGTCTTTTATTGGCCTATATAAATCCTCTGAACACTTATACAAATCTAGCCTTAATGTTCCTAATGATATATAAATAACAGAAGTATCATATAAAAGAATGAAAGGAAGCATGCACAAGAGATTTTTACACAAGAAAGAAGGCAAGAATTAATGTAAGACCTCCAAATGACACAGTTCTACAGAAATAATCTGCTCAGAGTCAATGAATATTTTGAGATGTACAGATGAAGAGCTGCTTGTTATCATTCAATGAAACAAACTGTATATATGATGCAATGACAGTTAACATACTATAATTATCAGGATTAAGCAGTGGCTAATATAGCTGCAAGGTGAAGTACAACCGTTTTTTCTCCAGGGTTTTGGCATGGGCACAACATAAAGAACCTAGAAGGGCTCTAATCTCTTCAGGACAAGGATCAAAGTGTTTATCAGATTACTTTCTGTGAGTTTAGTCATGTACCTAGGCAGTATATTTCTAGTAGACTGGTTTTATTTCTGGGTGTGAAATTTTGGGAAGAGCCTGAATGATTCAGAGAGTAAAAAGTTTTAATATGTCCTAAACAGCTCCATATTTTTGGGTCAAGATTTTATAACTCCATAGCACATGATCTTGCATTCCTTCCAATGGCTTTTATTTCACTCTTAATTTACAAAACATTTATACATAACCCCAAGGGTTTACCTATGATTAATTCCTGCCAGGTACAGTATATCTGAACGCTTCCAACATGTTGAAAGCATTGGTTTTTGAAGAACTATCCATTAATGACTTTCTGAACTGTGACAATGGATATTGACAGTGCTTGTCAGACTAAAGCACTATTGATTGCCTCACATCATGTGTATTGCAAAACCAATTTCTTCCAAGTACCTCTTCCTAACTGAAATACATTATTATGATGCCTATCTGTTTATTATAACACCCAAAATTATTGTGTGTAATTCATTTAGCTAGAAAGGGCTCACAGAATGAAGAACAGCAGTGAGAAATGGGTAAGGCACTAAGAGATTAAAATAGCTTTACATTTGTACCTTCTCTTCCATTCTCATAGAATCAACCAGGTTGAAAAAGACCTCCAAGATCATCAAGTCCAACCCTACCATGGTTACTAGACCATGACACTAAGTGCCACATCCAGTCTCATCTTGGAAACCTCCAGGGATGGTGAATCCACCACCTCCCTGGGCAGCACATTCCAAAGCCTGATCACTCTCTCCATAAAAAATCTCTTCCTAATATCCAACCTAAACCTCCCCTGGCACAGCTTGAGTCAGTGCCCTCATTAGCCTTGATCTCCAGGAAAAAAACAACCCACAAATGGTCTGGACCATGCCAAATTTTTTAGTATTCATGAGGACTTTTGGGAAGTTTGTAGAAATGGAGATGACTTGTAGTGCACTAATAACACCCAGAAATTTAGATTTAAAAATTATTTCCAAAATACTATTAAAAGTGACAAGTTTGACCATTTAAAATACAGAACACACTGTTAAAAACATCTTAAAGCACATATGAACAGATCTGTGTGCTTAATTGTCATTTCTGAAGTCTTAAACTAATCATTTTCTTTAGAGCTTTACGGACTCTGATCCAGAGTCCTCACAGCAGCATCATATCAAAGCTCAGGTGGCAAAAGGGGAGGTAGGAGTAGGGCTCTATTACTTTGGAGAACGAAGGTACCAGTCTAACAGCAGTGCTATCATGTATGTGTGAAAATATTAATTAAAAGGAATGAATTAGTAAATTAATTTCAAATAATGGAAATACTTAATTGCTGAGTGTCTCATCTTTCTTAAGAGATATATCTAAACGTGCAGAGGTGTATGACTATGCCTACACTCCATGAGACACTGTAATTTAAGAGTATACAATGACTCATGAATTTAAGTTGTATTGGATATCATTGGGCCTCAGAATTCACCATTTCTTCAGGCTTTTTTTGCCCTGCAGCTGGTATGAAACTCCTGTAAGTCCTTTAAGGAAGGAGCAGCATACATTATTGCCTGTATAAATGGGCAGGTTTTCAACCAGCCCCAAAATTTGGAGAGTGACAAAACCAAGTCCTGCTTCCTTCCTTTTCTTTGTGATGCTCTGAAATGGAGTCAATAGGGCCTGCACACTAAGGATGAAGAGTTCACTTCACCTACTTTATTGAGCTGAAGACTTTTGCAAGCCATTATA